CACCGGCTCTGGGGCCTTCTTGGACCCTACGCCTGGGTGGGGGGAGCCCTGCTGGGATGGAGGATATCAACCGGACAGAGAGCGATCATGGGCAAAGTCGGGCGCCGGCCCGAGGCTGGTCTCAGGGCCCTGGCGGAGCCTACGGTGCTGATGGCCTCGCTTGGTCGGATGGCGTTTCTCCGTCTGAGAGTTCGCCTTTCGTGGCTAGTAACGGCGCGGCGGAGAGCAGAGCCTGGGCTGCCCGGCAGCAGCAGGAGAGTGCCGCAGCCCTCCGTAGCGGGAAGCGGGCTGCCTGCAGGGTGTTAATGACCAAGTTGTGGCCCACTTTTTCTGAAGGAAAGAAAACAGCATCGTTCGCACCCCAGGCTGCACTCCCACGTCTGCATTATGTATCCTTCACAATTTAGCAGTATTTATATATATATGTATATTTGGGTTTGTTTGGGTTTGTTTTCTCTTTCCGTGGTTAACAGCATATTTCTCATAGTTCTTAAAACATCAGGTCCCTGTTGCGCCAGCAACCTTCTCCATGCAGGCCTTTGGGAAGGATGCGCAGGCCAGCAGTTAGAGTTGGGGCTGGGATCCTCGCAGCAGGGACAGCTCTTGGCTTTGGGTTCATCCTGACTGACAAATTCACTCCGAGAAAGCAGCCAGCAGAAAAGAAAGGGGATTTCTGCAGAACCTGACTCCATAGCCTGTATTGAGTCTTGCATTCTCATTACTTACAATACTAATAAGTTCTGTGGCATAAATTTTTAAGGGTGTGATAAACTAAGAATGTAATCCTGATACAGGAGAGAGTGGAATTTTGGTTATTGTATTGTCTGGTATATAGCTTTTGTATTTTAAGGTCATGTGTTTTGTGTTCTGAAAACATTGAAGTGTCATTTAAAGTTCTTAACTGTTTATTAGGTAATTTGGAGGGTAGTATGTAGTCTTGAGCATTATTGGCGTAACATCTTAACACGACAGTCTAATTTTTCCCTCTCTGTACCTGTCTCCTTACTGATTCCTTGCCAGTGATCTTTAGTTACAGAATGGTCTTGTTGCCAGTTAACAACTTCCTTTTTTATTTTTGCGTCATCCACTTTTTTCTTTTCCTCCATCATCTTTTCCTGCATCATCCCTTCCTTATTTCCCACATTCCCTGTGCATTGTGGCATCTCTGTTAATGCTTCAGGTGGACTGGTAGTGCCACCACAGGCCCCACAGATTAGTAAGATATAAGAATGGGTGAAGGACTGGCATGGAGTCAGTTTGATCCATCAGTTTGGAAAAGGTGAGCCCATCACAGTGTGGAAGGATAGCAGGTAGGATAGTCAACTGGTGGATACTTGGAGGTCTTGCTTCAGCTCCATGCATTGCAGCATACTTCTTTTCTGTAAGCAAGTCATGTAGTATGTTTGTGCAGTGGAATATTGTTAACGTGCTTGAGCAAGCTTTGAACAGGCTGGCCAGAGTGCTGAAACAGTCCTGCTGCAGCAGCAAAAAGCAAATTTACTGTATACTGCTAATATGTTTGTTAGCCAAGCTCGCTCATTTAAAATTTATTTGAATACCTTGTATTTTGCAATACTTGTACATCTCTTGTACTTGCACTTGTCAGTATGGTTTTAGGTAGTACTTCATCCTTGGCTTGAGGCAGAGAGGAGTGCTCTGATGTACTACTGTGATACACCGGTGACTGATGGATGGGGTTATTCTGGGGGACAAAACTGACAACTATCACGATAAGCATTTGCTGTGCACCATCTGTACTCATTATCAATGGCTTACTTTTGTTTTAGTGCTGTTGGGCATATTTGGAATATATCTTTGTCTCCCTCCCTGCGATAAGATAATAGGATTTAATTTTTTTTTTCCCTGGAGCAGGGGGAGGTAGTCTCCACATTTGTTTCTAAACTTGATTAGGGAGAAGAACAGCTTGGCTAGTGAAGCGTGGCTCTCCCAAATCTGGGTCCTCATCTGGAAACAACTGAAGAGGGGTGTGATGATGTAGATCCGAGTACAGTCTACACTTAGATCGTGCTTTGGTATCTGAGTCCTCACTTTTCATTTAACTTCCCTCTCATTCTAACCATTCCTTCATAGCATTGCTACCTCAGTTGTCCTGTAGCAATAGCGGGTATACATGAGCCTTTGACTAATGAAGAATATAGTAACATGATCTGCAGTGAGCATTGTTGGATCTAGCTAGCTTTCAGCAGAACACTGAATTGAGGTGATGGTTTCTGTATTTAAAAATCAGAGCACTCTGTGATGTATGTCTGAAAGTTAAAAAGACGGTCTGAAATTCTGGATTAAGATGGTGGTTGACAGTTTAGTCTCATGGAATTGTTGCATTGTGAATATGAAACTTTCTCCACTGTACAGCGCTTGTTGGAGTGTTTTCTTTGTGTGCAAATTTGCTCTCCGCTATCAGTCGTCTCCAAATTGATTGGTGCGGTTCCCAGGAAAGAATGTATCTCAGCTCTTGGGAACATGTCTTGCATTATCTGTACTGTAAGAGTAGGCATAGCTTGTTCATTCCTTCTTTAAGGAACACAGCTCCTTGTGTCTGTTAAATCTATCAGAGATTCAAGTGACCAAATCAGCTGATAGAACTAATGAAAGTGGAAAAAGTATATGGGGTGTCCAGGTGAGTTTGGGGATAGAGGCAGGGAGGAACAAACAAGAAGGAGCCACTAGGTTGGCTCAGTCACTCATGCTGCAGTTTCTTGAAATATGGGTGAGCTGAATTCCTCCTCTCCACCTCCTTCCGTCATTTAACTTGCAAGCCCCAATGCTTGTCTCTGAGCTGCCTTAAATCACTAACATGACAAAAAAAAAAAGGGCAAAAAAACTGGGGAGTGTTCTGCTCTTTTAATGCATTAAATAAACCATGGAAGGGTCATCTGAGGTCTCTTCTAATGCTACAAACAATTAGATTGGCTCAGTAGCCTGTTAAGTTCTGCCCTCAGACTTTACACTTATGTTTTGTGAAAACCTTTCCTTGTTTTGCAGCTTTATACAAAACACTTTGCTTTGTGTTAATTATGCAACAGTCTTCATAAAGCTATGATTCTAGCAGATTTCCAGCTTTGCAAAGGTCTTGCTTGTGACATGGCACTGTTGTTGAATATGGATGCCTGATTGTTAACAATGTTTAAATACAAATACTCACTCCTTATTCATATAGGGAAAAATGGATAATTCCCTACTTAACTGGGAAAAGTTACTCCTGCTATTGGAGGCTAGGAAGCCCATTCCTATTGAAGCTTGTCGTAGTGCTTTCTAAATCATATGTACTGTAAGAAGCAAGTATCATAAAAGCACCTTATTGTCGCAACAGCTGTTGTTTTCTCTCAGTGTTTGAAAAAGGCTGGGCTTGATATCCAAACACTTGGAAAAGAGCCCTTGGGAGTTGTGGGAACATTGTATAGGATCTACAGAGAGGAGATTACATTTTCTCTTGGGTTAATCTAGGATCTCTAGGAACTAAGAACATGATAATTGTTGCCACCATCCCAGTGCATCAGCTGCACTGCTTTGAACTTATTTCTGTTGTCTGGTGCCTAGTGACCTAAGCAAAACCAGCATCAAAGACCTGAGGTACTGAAACAAGAAACTCTGGTGCCTATGGCTCTGCCTAGGTGGGAGGTTAAGACCAAACTCGTAGTTGCTGTTAACAGGCTTCAGAACTAAGCTTTTGATGCTAAGAGATAATTGCTTTGTTAAAATGTCTGTTAATCCACATTTTCCATGGACTCCATTCTAAATGGACTTTCTAAAACTCTGTATACCTTCTTCTGCTTTTAGCCCTACTCATATTCTCTTTAATTCCTCTCATCCTTGATTTTTTTTTTTTACTTGTCTTTTGGCACACAAAATGACATAGTTTCTAAAATATTTTGAGCACTTCACGTTAGGAACCTTTTACTCCCTTAATATTTCTTTGAAGAACATGCATTAAGCTGCTCAGAAAGCATAGTTGTGTATTACTGTCTTCAGTGTGCCATTTGGGGATTTTTACTGAGTTCCAGTAGTGATTATCTAAATGGAAATGTAGCAACACACCCTATACTTATTCTTTTGTTATAAAGATGTGTAGCCTATATCTTGTAAATGTAAAACTTCTAACTGTGCAGGTTGATTGTTTCTTAAATGCATAAAGCTGTTCAGTTGCAGGTAGCTAGCTCCTGCAAAACTGCCTGAAGCTTTAGGAGGCAGTCATACACATAGTATTCAAAACTGAGCTACTTAATTTTTTTTTTAAGCCTGGTCAGATCCTGTAGCAATAAGCAGGAAACACTTTTTTTCTGATCTTTTGTTTGTGTCTGTATTTGGGTCTCTGTGGCTTGTTACTCTTGAAAGTAAAATTCAAAATTATAATAACAATGGATTATTTTTCCATACCTTTTCCTTTTGTTGAAAGGGTTTTAGGTGCTATGGTTGGATAGCTCAGATACAAGTTAAAAAGTCCACCATGGCAAATAGTTGCAGTTTTTTGCTAAACATATTTTTTCCTCACTACATATGCACAATAGTGTCTCCCTTCCCCCACAAATAGCTGTATCTTGTATACTTGCATGTCGCTCAAGTGGCTTTAATCTGCACTGAAATAAAGTGTAACCTGCGATGCCCAGCACACATCAGGACAAATGTAATAGATTTTAGAGTACTTAATGAACACTAATGTTATAAAAAAAGGAAGAAGTTGCTGCATGAATTATCAAAGACTTCAATATCTTTCATATATGAAAGAGCTAAATACAAAAATCTCTACCTCTTGTATATT